TCCTCCTCCGCCTCCTCCTTCTTCTCCTCCTCCGCCTCCTCCTTCTCTTCCTCCTCGTCCTCGTCCTCCTCCTCCTCCTCCTCCTCCTCCTCCTCCTCCTGCTCCTCCTCCTCCTCCTCCTCTCCTCCTCCTCCTCCTCTCCTCCTCCTCCTCCTCCTCCAACTCCTCCTCTTACTCCTCCTCCTCCTCCTCCTCCTCCTCCTCCTCCTCCTCCTCCTCCAACTCCTCCTCTTACTCCTCTCCTCCGCCTCCTCCTCCTCCTCCTCCTCCTCCTCCTCCTCCTTCTCCTCCGCCCCTCCTCCTCTTCCTTCTCCTCCTCCTCCTCCTCCTCCTCCTCCTCCTCCTCCACCTCCTCCTCCTCCACCTCCACCTCCTCCCCCTCCTCCTCCTCTCTCCTCCTCCTCCTCCTCCTCCTCCTCCTCCGCCTCCTCCTCCTTTCCTCCTCCTGCCCCGTCTCCTCCTCCTGTCCAGCCCTGCATTGCTCACCAGACGACGCCGCAACGCCGCGCAAGCACCGGGCCACATCGGTTGAAGGGAACACTAGCAGGAGGTATCCCTTTTCCTCTTCCTCCTCTTCTCCTCCTCCTCTTCTCCCTCCTCCTCCTTCTCCTCCTCCTCCTCCTTCTTCTCCTCCTCCTCCCTCTCCTCCTCTTCCTCATCTTCTTCCCTCCTCTTCCCCCCGTCCCCCGCTCCCCCCCACTCCTCCTCCCCCCCTCCTCCTCTTCTTCCTCCTCCCCTTTTCTCCTCCTCCTCCGTCTCCTCTTCCGCCTCCTCCTCCCTCCTCCTCCTCCTCCTCCTCCTCCTCCTCCTCCTCCTCCTCCTCCTCCAACTCCTCCAACTCCTCCTCTTTCTCCTCCTCCTTTTCCTCCTCCTCCTCCTCCTCCTCCTCCTCCTCCACGTGCAAGAAATCCAGCATCATGTCGTGCAAATCAACGAACTGTGTCCCTCCTTGCCTTTTTGGGCGTCCTTGTAGGACTTTGTGGGGCCGTCATAGGGCCCTGTTGGGCGTCTTGGGAACCGCACATCATGATCCCAGAGAGGCCTCCGGGAGCATAATTTCGGACGCTGCGGAAGGGGCATCCCGAGAATCTCTAGGCAGCTCTTCTGGCCCACGTTGTGGTTCGGTTGGGTGCCGTTTGGGGCTCACTGGGGCTGGCTTGTAGCTGTTATGGGCCATATTGGGCCACTCTTGGGCAGTCTTGGGGCTCCTTGGGGGCGTCAGGGGCACTAGGAAGACGAAGCAAGCCAGTAAGCTGAAAACGTTCGTTCTACAAAAGGAATGGGCCGACATTTGCCTCTTGAGGGTCCTTTTGGGGCCCTCTTCGGCCGTCTTCAAGCCACCTCGGGCCTTCTTGGGGCGCTCGTGGGCGTCTGGGGGCCATCGTGGGCCACGCTGAGGCTGCCTCGGGGGTCCCTCTGGCCGTCTCTGGGGCTTCTTCGGCCGTCTGGGGGGTGGGGGGGCGCGGGCCCCGCAGGACGCCTGGGGCGGCTCTCTCGGGCTGTTTTGGGGCTCTCACGGGCTGTCTTGGGCACCTCACATCGGACGGGGTGGTCGGAGTCTGAGATCACCTCAGATTTTCGCCAATTCGCGAAGGCCGTGGTTCGAAAAGCTTTTGGGCGCTCCTCGCCCCCAAGAGGCTCGAGGAGGCCGCAAACCAGACCTCCTCGTCGTCCTCCCTCCTCCCTCCTCCTCCCTCCTCCTTCCTCTTTCTCCTCCTCCTCCTCCTCCTCCTCCTCCTCCTCCCTCCTCTCCTCCTCCCTCCTCCTCCTCCTCCTCCTCCTCCTCCTCCTCCTCTCTCCTCCTCCTCCTCCTCCTCCTCCTCTCCTCCTCCTCTTTCTCATCCCTTCCTCGTTCGCCCCTCTTCCTCCTCCTCCTCCTCCTCCTCCTCCTCCTCCTCCTCCTCATCTTCGTCCTCCTGTGCAGCCTGCGTGGCTCACCAAACGGCGCAGCCACTCCGCGCGAGCGCCGGGCCGCACGAGATGAACGGAACACTCGGAGAGGGCCTCCCTTTTCCTCTTTCCTCCTTTTTCTCCGCCTCCTCCTATACCTCCTCTCCCCGTCCTCCTCCTTTCTCCCCCCCCTCATTCCTCTCCTCTCCCCTCTCCGCCTTCCTCCTCCTCTCCTCCTCCTCCTCTCCTCCTCCTCCTTACTCCTCTCCTCCTCCCTCCTCCTCCTCCCTCTCCTCCTCTCCTCCTCCTCCTCCTCCGTCTCCCTTTCCTCCTCCCTCCTCCTCTCCTCCTCCTCCTCCTCCTCCTCCTCCTCCGTCTCCATTTCGCCCGTCTCCGTTTCCTCCGTCTCCCTTTCCTCCTCCTCCTCCTCCTCTTCTTCCTCCTCCTCCTCCCCCTCCTCCTCCGCGTGCAAGGCATCCAACAACATGTCGCGCAAATGAGCGAACGGTGCCCCTCTGGGTTTTGTTGGCCCTTGTTTTTAATGACCTTTTTTGGTAGCGTCCGAACTCATGTTCCCGGAGAAGCCTCCGGGAACATGATTTCGGACGCTGCGGAAGAGGCCTCCCGAGAATCTCTAGGCAGCTCTTCTGGTCCCCGTTGTGGTTCTGTTGGGTGCCTTTTGGGGCCATTTTGGGCTGCCTTGATGCTCTCATGGGCCGTCTTGGGTCCCTCTTGGGCCGTCTGGGGGCTCCTCGGGGGCGCCTGGAGCACTGTGAAGACGAAGCAAGCGCATGTGTTGAAAGTGTACGTTTTACGAAGGGCATGGGCCGACGTTTGCCTGTTGAAGGTCCTTTTGGGGCCCGCGTCGTCGTCGTCGTCGTCGTCGTCGTCGTCGTCGTCGTCGTCAATCACCGTCGCCGGTCGTCGTCGCCGATCGTCGATCGACCTCGAGCCTCCTTCTCTCCCCCCTCCTCCCCTCGACTCCTCCTCCCAGCCTCCTCCTCTTTCTCTTCCTCTTCCTCTTCATCCTCCTGCTCATCCTTCGCCCTCTCCGTCTCCTCCGCGAAGAAGAAATCCAACAACATCTCGCGCAAATCAACCAGCGCTTGCCCCCCGGGCCTTGTCGAAGGTCCTCTTAGGGCCCTTTTTGGGGCCGTCCTGGGGCCCTTTCGTCCGGGGAAACCGGAAATCATGTTCCCAGAGAGGCTTCCGGGAATATGATTCCGAACGAGGCCCTCTTGGGCCTCCCTGAGGCCGTCTTGGGAGCCTCCTGGGCCGGCTTTGGGGCCTCTTGGGCTGTCTTGGGGGGTCCCGTGAGCCCCACAGGGCGACCTTTCAGGGCCGTCTTGGGCCCTCTTGGGTCTCTGTTGGGCTGTCTTGGGGCTCCTCGGGGGCGTCTGGGGCACTGTGAAGACGAAGCAAGCGAGTATGCTGAAGATGTCCGTTTTACAAAGGGAATGGGCCGATGGTTGCCTCTTGAAGGCACTCTTGGGGCCCTCTTCGGCCATCTTCAAGCCATCTCGGGCCCTCTTGGGGCGCTCTTGAGCGTCTTGGGGCCGGACCTCGCTGAGGCTGTCTTGTGGGTCTCTTGGGCTGTCTTTGGGGCCTCATGGGCCAGCTTGGGAGGGTTCGTGGACCCGGGGCGGCCATGGGCGGGTTCGTGGACCCCACAAGACGCCCGGGGCGGCCACGCCAACCGCTGGCACCACCCCACCCCCGCTCCCGGGCCGACTACGCTATATATATATATGTATATATATATATACATGTGTATATATATATATATATGTGTATACATATACATACATACATGCACACATACACACAAACATATATTGCACTTAACGGGTTGCAGTACATATACTGCACAACATAGATTGCACCACATGGACTGCACGACATAGCTTGCACCGCATAGATTTCACCACAAAGATTATCAGAACAGACACTGTTTGGGGTCCACGCTGGCTAACAGTGTTTTATCCTTTCTAGAAAATCATCATTGTTCATCCCCCTCCTCTGGTGCCCATCGTGGTTTGCCCCTCCCGGATCTCGCACCCTGTGTTTTACAAAAGACGGTCTTGGGCCGCTGGGGGGCACACAATTAGTCCAACAGCCTGGCCAGACATTGGCCACCCATCCGGCCACGTGAGGCGTTTTCGGAAAGCAGGCCGTAGGCGTCTTCGATCCACACGCCCCCTGTGATTTACGCAGAGGCGACCCATCAAAAGCCTGGACCGTCCGCCTCCAAGATGGCCAAAGATGCCCAAGACGGCTTCCAAGGCAATCAAAGGCGGTCCCAGATGGCCTCCAATAGTTTCCCAGACGGCCGAGAATAAGGTCCCAAGGTGGTCCCAAGGGGGCTCTGTAAGGAGTCTCTCTGTGGCCGTCGTGGAAGCCCTCGGGGTCGGCTCAAGAGGCTAACACAATTGAGAGCTAATGTTTCAATTGGTTTCCGATTCTCTCGTTTCGGTAGCGTGGGCACACAAGACGGACCAAGAGATCCCCTGGACAGGACCAAGGCTGCCCAAGAAACGACAACCCGAAAACGGGTCAAAGTCGGCCCAAGAGGACCCCAAGACGGCCCGAGATACCTCAAAGACGTCCCCAAAGTGCCTCAGGAGGGCCCCAAGACGGGCCAGAGATACCCCTGAGACCACTCCCGAAAGCGCTAGACGTCAAGAGCCCCAAGACAGCTCCAAGGCGGCCCCAGAGGGCCCCTTCCCAATTCCCGCAGTGGTTTCCTTGACGGCTCGGGGAGCACGCATTCCACAAGCGTGGCGCGATGTCGCTCGACGCCGCCCTAAGCAGGCGCTTTGAACAAACGGAGAACGGCGATGACTCGCCGTGGGCGTCATCGGCAACTGTACGCAGCAGCGAATGGATGTATGCGACTGCACAGGGATGACCACCCGAACCATTGCATTTGGCAGAGTCAAGCGAGCAAACCGAGCAACATTAGATAGTACATAACGAAGGGTGAGCGTGCTACAACGAGCTCAGAGAAGCAATGAAGGTGACATATGCCGAACCACGTCTCTCCATTCATGCCCGCTATCCACCCGAGCGCCTGTGCCGAATCACGTGCTTCGTAGGCGGCGTTGGCTTGCTCAATGATGTTGGCCATCTCCTTGTAGACGGCAAAAAATGCAACACTCTGAAGATGATGACACGCAACATGAACACGGAATGCAGTGCGTCACGTCTGCACATGAGGGCAAACGCTGGTATTCGAACAGCCTCCTTCGACCTAACAATAAGTTTACCTCCTTCTTTAGCGCATCACCTGAAAACGTTGACACCATGACAGCAAAACCACGAAGCTCCACGTACTTCCAACAACCCCAAAGCTCCCAACAGATCTAAGCGCCTGAACTGAAGCCTGGAGCACCCAAACACAATACGATATCAAGTCCCACTTAGGTTTTGGAATTCCTGCTCAAGGCCATCGATGTCTCCAACACCATGGTCTAACATCCCGACTGCGAGGGCCGATCCTGTGATATACCTTCTGCCGTTCTTGATACAGCGGCGTGTGAACGGCACGCAATCAGATCGAAAAAGAAGTGCGTACAACCTTCAAAACGAATCCCTCCGCGAGGACATTCGACTTGTCCCTTAACGTTTGGTTACATTCAACACATATGCGTGCGGACTTGCAAACCGATTAAGCCTGCGCGGTCTTCAAAGATAATCCCTGCGTGGGTCTACACATGGATGCCCAGTGTGTGAACATTCACATGCAAGCCCCTTATGTCGGAGGTGAGGGGGTGAGATCGAAGTGGAACGGAGAGCCCCCCTACCGGGAAATCGATTTCGGTTTCGTGTTCGTGCGTGCCGTGCGGGCGAGGCGAAGCTGCGTGGGCGGGCGAGAGAAAGTCTCCTGTGGCTGAGGCGCGGCCGGACCAAATGACTCCCTTCCGGGCGGCCGGGGGCCCGCGGTGTCCCGCCGGTGTCCCGCTTGTGTCCCGTGTGGCTGAGGCGCGGCCGGACCAAATGACTCCCTTCCGGGCGGTCGGGGGCCTGCGGTGTCCCGCCGGTGTTCCTCTGGTGTCCCGTGTGGCTGAGGCGCGGCCGGACCAAATGACTCCCTTCCGGGCGGTCGGGGGCCTGCGGTGTCCCGCCGGTGTCCCACTGGTTCCGTGTGGCTGAGGCGCGGCCGGACGAAATGATTCCCTTCCGGGCGGCCGGGGGCCCGCAGTGTCCCGCCGGTGTCAAGTCGGTGTCCCGTCGGTGTCCCGATGATGATGATGTTGATGATGATGATGGTGATGATGATGATGTTGTTGTGCTATTTTGATGATCGATTGTGAGTTCGATAGTGAGGTCGAATGTGAGATCAATAGTGATATCGATAGGAATATCGATTGTGAGATCGAACGTGAGACCGAATGTTAGATCGATTGTGAGATCGACTGTGAGATCGATAGTGAGATCGATAGTGGTATCGGTAATGAGATCGATTGTGAGACCGAATGGGAGATCGAAAGTGCGATCGATTGTGATACCGATAGTGAGATCGTGAGACCGAATGTGAGATCGATTGTGGGATACTGTGAGATCGATTGTGAGATCGATAGCCAGATCGATTGTGAGATCGATCGATTGAGATCGATAATGAGATCGGTAGTGAGTTCGATTGTGAGATCGATGGTGAGACCGAATGTCAGATCGATTGTGAGATCGGTGATGATATCGATAGTGAGTTCGATAGTGAGACCGAATGTGAGATCGATAATGAGGTCGAAAGTGAGTTCGATAGTGAGATCGATAGTCAGACCGATTCCGAGATCGATTGTGAGATCGATTATGATATCGATAGTGAGATCGATCGTGAGACCGAATGAGAGATCGATAGTGAGATCGATAGTGAGTTTGATAGTGAGAACGAAAGTCAGATCGAATGTGATATCGGTTGTGAGCTCGATTGTGATTTCGACAGTGAGATCAATAACGAGACCGAATGTGAGATCGATTGTGAGATCGATAGTCAGATCGATTGTGAGATCGATCGATTGAGATCGATTGTGAGATCTTAGTGAGTTCGATAGTGAGATCGATCGAGTGCGACGTTGGTCCCTCTCCCCCCCCTCGCCTCCTTATCACCCGAAGGGTGGTCGTATAGGTACGCTTTAACACACTTATATCCAGTGTGTGGCCTTCAAATAGAAGTAGGCCGCGCCTGGCTCGGGAAGGGAAGGGTGATGGGCCAACGAACAAACAACTACAGCAAATACAACAAAACACCAACATGGGGACAAACAACTATACACTCACACGTGTTAATCTGCTTGTCGAACGCAAACCCGCAGACATGATCGACCCACGAAAACGGAAAGGGATTCAGAACCGTGAGGCATGCAAGCGTTGCCAAGCACTTCAGTTGGGCGATGGGCAGTGGCAGTGCTGACCATATCAATGGTGATGACACTGTCCCAAGGGCTGTGTTGTGCTGCTCTGCGAAGTTCTGCGCCGCACAGTGGCGTGCCAGAGGACGGGCAACGGAACGTGCCAGTGGACGTGCCAGCGCGCCGCGCGATGTACCAGGGGGACTTGCCACGTGATCTGCCCGAACTGATTTGGATCTCAAGCTCGGGCTCCCTGACGGCCCAACTCGCCCAGAGCTGGCCCAAGTCGAAGGTCGAACAAAAACAATCAACCCGAACTCCAGATTCGACTCAACCCCGAAAGGGACGAGGCGACACGGGGCGCGAGGCGCATGGACGCGCCACGGGATGTGCCAGGGGCGCACTAAGGAGATGTGCCGGGGGGACGTGTCAAGGGGCGTGGCAAGGGATGCGCCACGGAACTGGAAAGGAAAGCGCCAGGGGACAAGCCAGGGAGCGCGACAAAGGACGAGCCACAAGACGCGCCCGCCGAAGGGGGAGGGGCATACGACGCTCCGCCCTCGGGGGTTCGGACACCCAAATGTTTTCACGCTTGTCCCGCCCTGGGGCGCTAGGAACCCACGTGTGTTCACGCGTGTCCCGCTCTGGGGCATTAGGAACCCAATTGTGTTCTCATGCTTGTCCCGCTCTAAGGCGTTAGAAACACAATTGTGCTGTCACGCTTGTCCCGCACTGGGGCGTCAAGGAACCACGTGCTTTCGCGCTTGTCCCGCTCTAAGGCGTCATCAACCCACGTGTTGTCACCGTTGTCCCGCTCTGGGGCGTCAAAGCCGATGTTATGTTCACACTTGTCCCTCTGGGGCGTTATCAACCCACGTGTTTTCACTTATGTCCAGCTCTTGAACGTTAGGACCCCACGTGGTTTTACGCCTGTACCGCTCCTGGGCATTAGGAACCTATGTGTGTTTCACTTTTGTCCCGCTCTGGGGCGTTAGGAACCACGCGGTTTCACGCGTGTCCCGCTCTGAGGCGCTAGACAACCATAGGGTGTTTAAGCTTGTCCCGCCCTGGGACGTCAATTTGGACGCCCGAAATGGGTACCGAAAAAATGGGTACTATGCCCAACAGCAAGTGTTGTCCCAAACCAACAGCGGCCGCTGTTGGGCAGGCGGCCCCCTGTCTCAAGTGAACACAGGCCGCGGCGGCGCGGACAACGAATCCTGTCCAAAATGAACAGGAATTGTTGTTGGGCATCGTACCCATTCTTTCCGTGCCCATCTCGTTCGTGCAGAGTCAAGAACCGATGTTGTTTTCACGCTTGTCCCGGTCTGGGGCGTCAGGAAGCCATCAGCTTTCACGGTTGTCCGTACCTGGGGTGTTAGGAACCCACGTGATTTCACGCTTCTGTATTCCCAAGACCACATGGGCATCTTGGGGCGCCGAAGCCTCTCAAGTTTTGCCAGGTCTGCGTTTTGCCTGAGACGTGCTCGAAATATCTTTGAGCAGGACGCGCCATTTTCGAGCGGGCACGCAAGAAGATCAACATGTGTGCATTTCGCACAAAATTGTTTGGCCTCCATACCTCGCTATTCAAAGAAGATTATGCGCCGAACGCTTTGCACTTTTTTTGAACCCATGAAGCGGAGGTCTGAGAGGGCGCACTCTCCTCGAGTAGGCACGCGAGAAACGCATTGTTTAAACAACAACTTTGGATTGATCGAGTCTTTCGTAAACAACGAGCGGACACCTGCCAACCCTTTTCGAACTGGGTTCCGGAGACAATTGACGAAACCAAAGGAGAACCCTGGGCCCACGCCCTTTCCGGAAAAAGCAATAAAAGCTGCCTGCATCAATCCACATATGGATACCTAGTGTACGCTCTTCAAAGAGAACCCTTGGGTGGGAGGCGGGCAAATTGGTTCCAATTCTGTACGATAAAATTAAATACCTACGCTCAGAAGTACGAGTGATTCCAATGCGCGGCTTTCGACAAGGATTCCCTTGCACCCGGCTCGGAATTACACACGTTGTGAATTTACACGCGTTCTGCAGGTGGGGGGGATTACACACGTTGTGAATTTACTTGTGAGCTGGTGAACCACGCGCGCACTTCGCGCGCGCTCCGGTTCCAGCCCAGACAGAGCCATCGTCGTATCAATCAGCGGATGGACAATCACACCATCCGTCCACGATCACCGCATGGGAACAACTGCGCAAACGCGGGTATATATATATATATATATATATATCTTAATCGCGTCTCCCCCGCCTATCTCGGCGTGCCCCACATGGAGCTCCACCTACGGCCCCAGAGACAAGATTCGCATAGCGGCACGCCCCTCACGCGGATCGTGCCCAGCAGGTCGTTGCATATACGGCACCAGAGAAAGGCTTCGACACACCTCTCAGGCGGATCGTGTCCCGCAAGGGAGCACCACCCACAGACCCAGAGACAAGGTTCGCATCCCGCCCCCCTGCCTGCCCCACAGGGAGCACCACCCACAGCCCCAGAGACAAGGTTCGCACATCGTCCCCCGACCATTTCAGCACACCCCACACTCGGGGGCGCGCAAACATGGATTCGCGATCCATAGATTTGGCGCGCGGTCGCCAAATCCATGGATCGGGGGAGGTGCCCTCCCCAAAATGCGGGCGGTGTCGCCGCGTTCGGCGGCGGAAATCCCTCCCCAAAATGCGGCCGGTGTCGCCTCGTCTGGCGGCGGATCTCCGCGACTTCCCGTGGGAACGGGGCTGATCGCTCATCCACGCCACCTTGATCCGTGTTTGCGGATCGCCCGACGTACGCAAAACGAAAAATTACATAAACATAGAACCTCGGAGGTCCGCGCGGATTTCTTGCATCCGCGCTGGACCCCCCTCCCTGGTGCTCGGAGCGCGCCAGGGGTGGCGCCAGAGTCGCCGCGGAGGGGCCCCAGCCCAGAGCCGCTCGGAGACATCAGCGCGGACCTCCGAGCTGTTATGTTTGTGTAATTGCTCGTTCCCCTAAAGTTACATCGGGTGCGCCCCCCTACAGGACGATCTAGAGGGACAGGCCCGACTCAACCCGAAAAAAAACCACCAGCGGCACCATCTGGCCACTTCGCCCCGCGGCCCCCCGCCCACGTCAGCACACGCCCGTGCCCGGGCCGTGCCCCTCGGAGGGGGAGAGCGCTCTCCGTGTGCGGCCTCTCGGCGGGCGTGCTTGCAGCGGGGGGGGGTAGCTCGGGCTGCCTGCTGCAGCCCCGCTCGCGCAGAGCGTGCAGCCTGCGATCGACACAGGCACGCACGGTCAGGTCGGGCCTGTCCTGCGACAGGAGGATTTACAAGTGGATCTTGGACGAAAAATAAAATTATCCCAGTGCGACCCTACCTAGAAGTTGGAGCCCCTAGGAAAGCAGCATTAGTAGTAACAGTAAAGCTAAGCTGCAGCTAAGCTACAGCTAAGCTAAAGCTAAGCCAAAGCTAAGCTAAAGCTAAGCTGAAGCTAAGCCAAAGCTAAGCTAAAGCTAAGCTAAAGCTAAGCTAAAGCTAAGCTACAGCTAAGACGAAGCTAAGCTAAAACTAAACTGAAGCTAAGCTAACGCTAAGCTAAAGCTAAGCTAACCGTAAGCCATAAGCTACAGCTAAGCTAAATATAAGCTTAAGCTAAAGCTAAAGCTAAAACTAAAGCTAAGCTAAAGCTAAGCTAAAGCTAAGCTAACGCTAAGCTAACGCTAAGCTGAAGCTAAACTAAAGCTAAGCCAACGCTAAGCTAAAGCTAAGCCAAAGCTAGCTGAATCTAAGCTAAAGCTAAGCTGAAGCTAAGCTAAAGCTACGCTAAAGTTAAAGCTAAGCTAAAGCTAAGCTAAAGCTAAGCTAAAGCTAAGCTAAAGCTAAGCTAAAGCTAAGCTAAAGCTAAGCTAAAGCTAAGCTAAAGATAAGTTAAAGCTAAGCTAAAGCTAAGCTAAAGCTAAAGCTAAAGCTAAAAGCTAAAGCTAAAACTCCCAGGGGACTGGGGGAACCGCGAAGCGGGGACCGGGGGAACCGCCCGGGGCGCTTTCCATTTCCCGGCCCCTTTAAGCTAAGAGAGTAAGAATCCTTCTAGGCAGAGCCTAGGTAGGGAACATAGTCAAAGAAATATCCCGAAGTGGTCAAAAAATACTTCAAAAGTCGTCCCCATATCATTTCTAGACTTTGTTTTGAATTTTCCTCCTGTAGAGGGACAGGCCCGACTTAAACGTACGGCAGGCTCGTGTCGTGACGACCCCGGCGTTGGTTTCTGACACCGCGTGGATCGCTCAACCTGGAGCGATCGGCGGGGTTTCGATCGCCCGATCGCTCCGTGTAGGCCAATTCTGGGCCACTGGCGGCGTTCAACCCTGAACGCCCGCGGCGGGGTCGCCAGTTGACACGACGCGAACCTACCGTACGAGCGAAGCAGGAATGCAATCCGACCATGACAAGTACAAGATCAAAGGCGCTCTCGAAGATGAGCGGCGAACGCGCGGGCTCCCGGAGCGGCAGCGGCGAACCATACCTAGCAGTGAGCGGCCAACGGATCGACCCCAGGGGCCGAACTGAGGGATGCCAGTGCAACTTTGGAGAACAGGATGGCGTAGCCTGCTGTACTTGAGCAACGCAGCAGCGCCGATGAGACACCCGCCTTGGACTCCTGTGGTGAATAGGAAAGCTTGTAGGGACTGGTGAGGAGGGGACTTGGGACGGCAAGGTTTCTTGTAGCATCGTTGACGCATCTTGGATTTACTCTTGTCCTCGCTCTCACCCCACTCCTCCCCCATGCATGGTATTCCTTCCCACCGGGGTTGCGGAGGGCGTGGGCATGATCTGAGACTCCGAGAACAAGAATGGAAAACTCAGGCCGCCTACAGTCGCGACATAAGATAAGCACAACCCAACAGGCAACGTGGCACGCGCAAGCCTGAGGGCACAGTACCACATGCCAAGGATTGAAAGGACTTAAGGATACCCTTGATTCCGTAGTATCGACCCTCGACTCATCGGTCGCGACTGTACACAGGCTTGCTCCCGCTGGTGAAAGAGATTGTCAGCGTGACACCAGGGAGGAGGGAGTCCTTCTTTTTTGACTGCAACTCGTTCTCGAGCTTGCGGTAGATGTCGTCAAAGACAACGCGCTCTCGCCTTCCCAATCCTGCCACCCGTTCGAACTTGGATCGCGCTCGACCACTTTGCGATGCACTTCATCACCAACTGCGCCAGGCTGAACCAAAACCAGGGGCGTGCGCCCCTCCTCAATCGCCCAACAAATGGAAAGCGCGACTGGAATAAGAAAAAACAGCACCACAAGAGAAATCGGCAGAAGACGAACTTGGATCCGCAACCGCACTCGCTCTTATCGGTTGGCTGCGACAGGAACGCGCTGCACTTCTGTTGCGCTTCCCCTGGCCCTTGCGAGGCACCAGCTGGAGCAGACCGTGGAACGGCATATTTCGAATACGTGTTCAGACGACGGCACACTTGCTCTACTCTCTTGGAACACGTTCCGAAATACTGAAGGCTACAGTGAGCATAGTCGTCGTCGTCGTCGTCGTCGTCGCCATCCAGGGTCGGCGGCGCTGACCGTAAGGCCTTCGCAATACTGAAGGCTGCAACGATCATCCTACCGCGAAGAGCGCTGGACAAGGAACGACGTGGCCCTCGCGGCCACAGCGAGCCTCTCGGCCACGAGACAGGCGGACGCCCTGGGCGCAGGGGTCCAGTGGCACGACCCCTGCACCCCGACAGGGGCCAGAGGGGTTCCAGGCTTCCCCAGTGTTCCAGTAGGTGATCGACTACATAATTGGTCGACTCCACGATGAGTTTCTTCGCCGAATACACGAGAAATGCGCAGAACCGTCGGACCTCTAAAGAATACTCGAGGCATTTGTTCATAGATTGATCTCCTGTCCGAAGGCCCAAGAGGCGCCCAAGACGGCCCACGGGGCCCACAACAGGGCTCACGAGGGGCCCAAGAGGGGTAACTGACACTGAAACCTCGAACCCTCCGCCCCAAAGGGCCCTTGAGACCGCCAGCAGACGCCCAAGAACCCCCCACCAAGAGGCCTCAAAATGGCCCTTAGGGAGCCCCTCAGAGGCTCCCAAAGCGGTTTCCAAGAGGCCTCCAGAAGCCTCACTGTGGACTTCTTCCCTCTTGTGGGGGTCGGCAGCATTGCGAGGCAGGGGTTTATCCATATCCACCGCCTGGGAAACGACGCCCTGGTGCCACAGCGGGGGGTGGATGTGGATATATTGTGGCCTCCAGGGGCCCGAATATATCCACATCCAGCGCCCGCGAGGTCCTCGAAAACTGATCCTCCAGGCGGTGGTCATGTAGAAATTCCTGCCTCGGAAGCATGGCGCAGCTGATGGGACTGTTTTCCACCACCACCATATGTTGGAGGGGGAGGGGGTCCTCCTCCTCCTCCTCCTCCTCCTCCTCCTCCTCCTCCTCTTCGTCCTCCTTCTCCTCTTCGTCCTCCTTCTCCTCGTCGTCCTCCTCCTTCCCCCGTCCAACTTATGGTGGTGGTGGTGGGAAACAGGCCCATCAGCAGGAGCCTCTGGCATACATCCCGCAGCCGCTCTCTCCCGTGCGACGCGTGCAGCCGAGCCGTGCCAGCACCTCCCCCCAAGACGGAGAGCCGGACGCACCCTCTCTCGGGCAGAGGGGCCTCCTCGAGAAGGGGGGGCTCCGAGCAGCCGGGGTCGGAGGCTCCGGCCGCACCGCCCATGCATCGCCGATGCCGTCGCCGACGCATCGCTGCGATGCCTCGGCGGCCTCTGCGATGCCTCCTCGGCGTCGCCGGGCGTGGGGGAAGGCCGGGCCCCACGTCGCGCCGCATCGCCGGTGCCTTGGCAGTGGGGCGCGACCTCCTCCGACCCCAGCTGGGAGGCCTCAGTGGGGGCGGGGTAGAGGGCGTGGCCTCTCCCAGAGATGGCCTCCGCCGCCCCCGCGGCGGCCCGAAGACCGGAGCCGAGGCTGCCTCGAGGGTTCTCCAGACGCTCAAACTCGAATAGGGGATCGACTAACCCCGGGAAGCAAACAGTAACCCCCCCGGCGATATCGTTAGCACAGAAAATAAAATAAATAATTATTTTGGGCGGCGCCCTCCGGCGATATCGTTAGCACATAAAAAATATAATAATTAATTACTGTGCCCCCCCCGGGCCCGAAGCTGGCGGCAACGTGAGGCGACAGCCTGAAGAACCAATGCGCACGAACGCTTGCCAATGGGTGCCAGCCTTGCTAGAACACTGGGAAACTGACGCGCATCGGAAATCTAAGGTAAATCAGAAATGACAAACAATGAAATCGAGGTCATAGAAAACCGTACGGAACCATAGGACGTCGCAGGAATCCGTGAGGAGCCCAATCGAAGGAATGTCACAGGAACTTGAAAGGACCCCCCAAAGGAATCCCAGAGGAATCTCAGAAGGAAGCCCACGCAGAATCTCAAAGGAACCCGATTGGAAATTCGAAATAATCTCAAAGGAACCCCACAGAAATCGCAAAGGCATCTCAGCGGCAGCTAAAACGAACCACGAAGGAATCTAAGGAATCTGGAAAACGCGGGCTCGCGTGGACATAGGCAAACCCCACTGCGACCGCAATAGTTTTTTTATATTTTTTCAGGGGGTCCTATGGAAGAGTCCACGGAGGGATATCGCAGACGGATTCCGCGAACCCCCGCGATATGTTAGCACATTTATTGAAAATCCGATAATCCACAGGCACCGGAGGTCGATGTGATGCTCCCTTCAGGGATTGTCGAAGGAATGTCACAGGAACTTGAAAGGACCCCCAAAGGAACCCCATAAGAATATCACAAGGAATCCCACGCATAATATCAAAGGAACCAATGGAAGTTCAAAGCAATCTCAAAGGAGCCCAACAGAAACCGCAAAGGCATCTCAGCGGCAGCTCAAACGAACCACGAAGGAATCTAAGGAATTTGGAAAACGCGGGCTCGCGTGGACATAAGCAGTTCCTATTGCGACCGAACTAAGGAAATTGATTCTTTCGGGGGATCCTATGGGAGAGTCCACGGAGAGATATCGCAAACGGATTCCGCGAAACCCCCCGCGATGTGTTAGCACATTTATTGAAAATGAAATAATCCACCGGCCCCGGATGTCGATGTGATGCTCCCTTAAGCAATGGGGCATCAAAGGGATATGACCGGAACCTCAAGGCACCCACAGAATAACATCAAAGGAACACCAGAGGAGTCTCAAAGGAGTCCCAAAATAATCACAATGGAAACGGCAAGGGATCTCAAAAGAAGCCAATCGGAGTATCAAAGGAATCTGAGGAATCGCACAGAAACGCACCGAATCACAGGAAGCGACAACAATTGCGGCTTGAAAGCAGGGCCCAAGGGGACCGGGCATTCAGAGGCTTGTGGAGGCCTTTCTGGATGCCTCCTGGGAACCTCCGGGGACCTCCCCTCCGCGGACCTCTGGTGACCTGCGGGGGATATCGCTTCCGCCCTGGCCCCGGTGCCGGAAGCGTTATAATTTCCTCTGATGAGGGAGGGGGGGGGAGGGGGGTTTACTGATTGCTTCCCAGGGTTAGAGAATTGACTTTCCAATGTAAGTTTTCCCGCCGAATCTACGAAAGATGGACGTTCTACGCTTGTCTTGCACATTCGGCGGGAAGACCAATTCTGGAATGAATAAATTCTGTAGTCGATCCGCTATTCGACCAACCCCAGACCCCCTCGCGTGTTGAACAAATCACGACGGGGAGGTTATCGCTATTTGCGGCCTCCGGGGGCCCCTGCCGGGCCCCGGGACCGTCCGAAAGCGACTCGGGCGGAGAAACAGGTCCCGGGGCAGGGGTCCAGAGCTCTGGGGGTCGACGCTGCGCCAAAAACCACGACGTCGAGGGTCTGGGACAGGCCCTGTTGCCAGGCACCCGCACTGGCTCCAGACCTCCTCGCAGACGGCCCCAAGAGCCACAGCACAGTGGCACCGCGTCGTGCTGCGGCTAGTGCGAGTCGGGGCCCATGGCTTTTCCCTTGGCGCAATCATCGCGAACAGGCAGCGTGAGCCCACCCAGAACACATCGAGCACAACGTAGGCTGATGCTTCGCTCAAGATATCCAAACTGCTGTGCCTTTGTGGGTGCAAATGATAACAAGAGAACCTGGGCAGCAGCCGTCCACGCCCACCGACCCACCCCACCCACCTCGCACACTATGGTGGCAGACATGCGCGGCAGCGCAAGCGGATATTGCACTTCGGGCACATTGTTTACGCTGCACGGCAATGCTGCGACGAAGACTAACGTGTAGACACTGGGTGTCGACATACATTCTCCTACGTCAGGAGCTTCTCCTACGTCAGGAGCTTCCACGTCACTCGCTCGCCAGTGCCCCAAGGCTCTCGCCAGTCCCCGTCGTGGGGCACGACTGCAGAGGGCCGCTGCCGGCGTCGCCCCCAGCTCGCTGGCAGCCGAGTCGACCCCTCCTCGCTGCTCCTGCGCTGCAAGCGAGGAGTGGCCTGGCCGCTTTTGCATCGCCACTCGTTTCTTCTCTTTGCACTGCCACTCGTGCGCCTGCCCGCATGGGATCCAGCCGCGCCTGCGGTTGAGCCGCAGGCGGCCAGGCCAATCCTGCCCCACCTTCATGCTGGCGGCGCCCTGAGACCCAGCCACGCGTGGCCGAGCTGCAGCACAAGCCGAACAACAACGCTACGTATGCCGCAAAAGCTTGTATCGATCGGCGATCGGCACTGACCTCTGCAGCCCCGCACACCCGTACCTTGTCCGCCGCCTTGCCAGACGTCCACAAGCGAAGTGGTGGAAAAGCGCTGTGACGCAACGGAACAGAAAGAGGGCGCCGAGCGACTGGGTAAAGCAGCTGGAAAGACGCCGGCGTGAACGCTGAAGCCAATCATTCCTGACACGAAAGAGAACAGGCCGTTACGTTTACCACATCGAGAAGATCAATCAAGTGTAATCAACATGATCTATCCACGAACCCAGAAAGGTATTTAGAAACGCGAGGCACGGCTGCGTTCAAGACGCCTGATTGGGTGACCGGCACTTGCAATACTCAAAATATCAATCGCGAGGAACTGTGCCAAAAATTGTGCTGTGCCGTGCCGTGCTGAAATGAAATGCGTCATGCCTTGATGAATTC